CGCCACAATGGGTATCTGGGACACCATCACCGACCTCGCCGAGGCCGCCATGCCGTGGGCCACCGTCGAGGCCGAGGCTCCTGCCGCTGAAGAGGTGAGAGAAAAAAAAACACCAGAGACGAACTTTCTGCGCAAATTGCTGCCGTGGTCCGGAGTGAAAGGGCGACCCTTGCGGTTCTCGAACGATCTCGATCAAGCAGGTTGCGGCAGCTATTGTGTGCAGTTGCAGTGCTACAGGGCATCCGCTAACCATGTCCGCAGGAGGAGACCCCCGCCGAGGAGACCAAGGACGACGAGGAGGAGGAAGAAGAGGAGGAGGAGGAAGAGGAGGACGATGACGAGGTCGTCGACCCCAAGGACACCATCGAGGAAGGTCGGTTTTCCTACCCCGCCCCCCGCGGTCGAATCCGAATCTACGCATCGCGATACCAGTCGATGACGCACATGAGCAATTTTGCGTACATGCCGCAATATCGACGCGGACGTCATCGGACCACCGCGCAGACGGGCTGAAAACACCACATCGCAATGGAGGACATGAGAAATGCTGACATTTGGGCGTGTGCAGCGTGCAAGGAGTCCAAGGCTTGCGCACCGGCCAAGCACCACTACGACGAGTGCGTCGAGCGCGTCACGGCGGCCGCCGACTCCGAGGACGGTGCCCAGGAGGACTGCGTTGAGGAGTGTAAGTTGCGAGGCGGATATTCAATGAGGCCTCGGAAATATCAAGAGGCCGTCAAACAGGATCATGGCTGACATGTCTCCCAGTCTTCCACCTCGCCCACTGCGCCACCCAATGCGCCGCCCCCAAGCTCTGGGCCCAGCTCAAGTAAACGTGCCTTCGCATGTCACGATAATCAGCGGTCGTCGGCGAAGTTTCATCTCATGGTGTCGGTTATGACGACGCCAACGGGAGCGGCATCGGCATCTAGATCTTGATAGAAGGTGTGGGCCGCAACGATGTGAAGACGTGGTGGCGGATGCCGCGACGAGACGAGACGGCCGTTTTAGCAAAGCACAATTCTTGATCCCGCCTCCCCCCCTCCCCCGCCGGCGGGATCGACAAATCTGTATCGCAATAGGTGTGTGTGTCGAGCTTTGCCTGTGGCCCTGTTACGGGCCCGGCTGGTTTGATGCGGCGCCAGAACCCCCTTGTCTTTTGTACCATAGGCATCGCCCGCAATAGATTCCTCTTGATTTACTCGCGGCCATGTGCATGGTGAGAAGCAGTGTCACCGAGGCCGTTGTGCTTTGTCCTGCTTGAAGCAGGGTTGCTCGGCAGGTTTTGGTGAGATGAGATGGTGATACCTCTATGATCACTCCCCCAATTACAAACTAAGAGTCGACGGGACTTTTGAGATATTGGTCTGGCACGAGACGCTATCCGCGATGAAATATCAGAGACGAGGCAACTCGAGATATCACGACCGCAAGACCGAATCTGGAAACTCGTATGATTGCCTGGAGCGGCTGCAGAAGGTAGATTCCTTCAAAGCAACCCTAGACGAGCATCGATGGCGCGATGAAGCAGCGAAGAAATGGAGCCGATGGTAGGGCATCTGCTGCCCTGCGGCAAAGCACCGCAACGATGGCCTCTGTCGAGAGAACCCTCACACCAAATATTCTTCACAACATGTCTTCAAAGTAGGGACATTTTCATTCCTGATATCAATGATTCTGCAACGACCTCCGGAGTCAAGCAACTCCATATCGACAGCACCATGCAGTTCCCGTCGTAGCAATGGCGCACAGAGTCCAGACCAGGCACATCGAAAAAGAACTTCAGTCTTCGGCAAGCCTGCCGTTCCCTGCTGACCCTCCCCTCCAGGTTCCGTCCGTCCCTCCGCCCGGAACCCTCCCCAAAAGCGATCAAATCGGCCGAGAAGCGGGCCAATCACGCAAGCCGGCCCCCCGGTCTCGTTCCCCGCAATGTCGAGCTGGTTATGCCCGTTTAGGCCCGTCGCAGGACTTCGGTTCCAGCCAACGGACGTCTTCTGCGACGGGGCCATTTGACGCCCCAATCTCCTCGGCCCTGAGTGTGCTGGTGGTGGTTCGGGTTGTGCTGTTCTGCAGGTGGTTTCATTACACGACATGTGAAGCGTGAGCATCATATCTCTGTCTTCCGGCCCGCCACATACTGCGAGGAGCTGTCTAGCATTTTGGGTTTCTGGCAGCGGTTCGAGTGTCTTTATGCACCGGTTCGTGTCAGCGATCATGGTCCATCCCCCTTTCGCGTGAACATGAACCAACCCTAAAGCCGTTCCGCCTCACTTATGGTTCTGCGGTGGTCTGTTTTACAATGACTGCCATTTTAGCGCCGCCCCAGAACGCTCTTTTACTTACGAAATCGAACCGCAGTCTAATTGAGGGACACGCGAGGTGGGTTCGAGCCGGGCGCTAGGTCCCCTGGTGAAATACAGATTCCCAACTTGGAGCGCAACCGTCCGGAACGTGCTGCCGCTGCGGGAGAGTGGGCGAACCAAACCAACCCGTCTCTCCATCTGTCTACTTGTCTGGACGTATGTATGTATGTATGGATATGTATGGATACCGTACACTATGCTTCAGCCGTCTCGGTTCCAGACTCTGGCAATGTGCACATCGCTATTCTGCCCAGTGCTCCCATGGATCATCTCGGCTACATGTGCAAGACTATTCCCATACCAGTACGCTTCCCCCGAACAGTCAAGACCACAGATGGGATGCAACACCAACAAAAGCACCATGCAACTGCAGGGCCCTTTTTTCACATCATCCCCCCTTCCCCCTCCATCCCCTGTCCATCTATCTTCAGCCCTTTTTAAACACCTTTATCACCCAACCCTCCCATCCTCTCTCTCTCTTAGCCTTCTCCCCCCTCCGGCTGCTTGCTCCTCCCATGTTTCCCATCGCCATCTGCGCCGGGAACCCCATCTCCCGCCCCCCTCCACGACGCGCCGACCCAGAACTCTGAGACGAAAGCCAACATCGGACGCACGCAAAGTCAAGGGGAGAAATCGAAAAGCGCACTCAAGGACCACCCCCGCCAAGACAAGCCTAAGCTCATCTCCCGCGCCCGCGCCAATCCACCGCCCTAACGGACCCCCCTCCCCTGTTTTAGCAGTCGACCGCGGCCTAGGCTCAGACCCAAATTCCGCGTCTTGAAAAATGCCCTTCTCCCTCCGTCCCAGGACCTCAAAGGTCTCACCCGCCACCGACGACAACAACATCACCGACGCCGCGACGACGACAATCACGCAGCAAGACGCCTCGACCACGACGTCCGAAGCGGAGAAGAAGACCGCAGCGATGCCGAACAGCGGCCTCCGCCCCGCCGGCCCCGGCTTCGGCAAGTTGGGCGACGAGGAGTACGAGCTGCGCAATGTGGACACGCCCGGATCCCGCGACAACGCCCCCGGCGCGGGGCAGCAGCACCAGCCCTACTCCGATGCTGTCGCCGGCGGCGACGACAACGGGTCTGTCATGGAGGGCACGGCGACGGAGTACCGCACGTATAAGCGCCGCTGGTTCGGGCTGGCGCAGTTGACGCTGCTGAATGTCATTGTGTCGTGGGATGTAAGTGTTTCTCATGTTGTCTCTTTTTTCCTCTCAAACACGGGGATCGATGCATCGTGATTCGTGCCTGCGCAAGCCACATCTACTTTAAAGATCTCACCTCACTTGTAACCGAGTAAGAGCATAAACTAACCTATCCGCAGTGGCTCACCTTCGGCCCCGTCGCCTCCACGGCCGCAACGTACTACAACGTCTCCGAGTCCGCCATCAACTGGCTCTCCACCGCCTTCATGTTCGCCTTCGTCGCCATCTTCCCGCTCACCATCAAGATCCTCCACCGCGGCCCGAAACCCTCCTTCATGACCGCCGCCGCCCTCATCCTCATCGGCAACTGGGTCCGCTTCGCCGGCTCCCACTCCAAGTCCCCGACGGGCGGCAACTTCGGCGTCGTCATGTTCGGCCAGATCCTCACCGGCCTCGCCCAGCCCTTCGTCCTCGCCGCGCCCACCCGCTACTCCGACCTCTGGTTCACCACCCGCGGCCGCGTCGCCGCCACCGCCCTCACCTCCCTCGCGAACCCGCTCGGCGCCGCCCTCGGCCAGCTCATCGTGCCCTTCTGGGTGTCCTCCCCGCAGGACATGTCCAACGGCGTGCTCTACGTCTCCATCATCTCCACCGTCGCCGCCCTCCCCTCCTTCTTCATCCCCGCGCGCCCGCCCACCCCCGTCGCCCCCTCCTCGCGGACCCTCAAGCTCGGCATCCGCGAGTCCTTCGCCATCGTCTCCCGCTCCCTCGAGCTGTGGCTCGTCCTCGTCCCCTACGCCTTCTACGTCGGCTTCTTCAACTCCGTCTCCTCGCTGCTCAACCAGATGATGCAGCCCTACGGCTTCTCCGACGAGGAGGCCGGCATCGCGGGCGCGCTGCTGATTGTCGTCGGGCTGGTCGCGTCGGCCATCACGTCCCCGATCCTCGACCGCACAAAGGCCTTCCTGCTTGCCATCAAGACCGCCGTCCCCGTGATTGGGCTGGCCTACCTCGTCTTCATCTGGATGCCCGAGACGCGCAACATCGCCGGGCCGTACGTGGTGCTTGCTGTGCTTGGTGCCGCGTCTTTCTCGCTTGTCCCCGTCGCCCTCGAGCTGCTCATCGAGCTGTCGCACCCGGTGTCCCCCGAGGTCACGAGCACCATCGCCTGGGCGGGCGGCCAGCTTCTCGGGGCGATCTTCATTATTATCTCCGACGCCCTGCAAGCCCCTGAGACGGCGTCTCCGCCGAGAAATATGAAGAACGCGCTCATTTTCCAGGCTGTTCTTGCCGTTTTGATTGTGCCGCTGCCCATGATGCTGGGCCTGTTTGGGCGTAGTGATAGGGTGAGCCTCCGCCGTGTAAGGTCAGACCAGGCGGGCACGCGGGCGGTGTAGCAGTAGCAGTAGTAGGAGCGTGTGTGATTAGCATTATTGTAGTAGTAATATCGATACCCCGTCATGAACATTTGTAAACCATTTCTATGCTTTCCCGTTAGCCTGCGCCGTACCGCTCGTGCCTCCGCGAATCTCCAAAAACTCCTCCCACTGCCTCCTTAACCGCTCCATCTCCGCCCACACCTTGCACCCCAGCTCCTCAAAGTCCACAATCTGGTCCGGCGTGAGGTCCCGCGCCTGCGGATGCCGGCCCACCACCTTCCGCAGCACTCCCGTCGCCGGGTCCCGCGCGAGGCTCTCCCGGTCCTCCACGGCGCCCTCCCACCCCCACCCCTCGACCTCCGTCTTCTTCACCTCCGCCCGCCCCGTTACGCTCGCCGCGCTACCCCACTTGATCTTCTTCGCGTCCAGCTCCTGCAGCGTCTCGTCGTCCTGCAGCGCGAGCCACACGGGTGCCACCGCGCCGCCGTACCACGTCACTGGGTGCCACGGCGAGCCCAACCACCGCGCGAGGTATAGTGCGAACTTGTACGCGTAGAAGAGGATGAAGGGAAACGGCACGGGGAACAGGTTCGAGGCGACGACGCCCGGGTGGGTGAGGTAGAAGGACGGCCGCACAGGAAGGCGCTGGGCAGTCTCCTCCTCCTCGGGCATGAAGTACTTTTCTGAGATTCTCCTCGTCGACGGCAGATGCGAGGTGAGGGCCAGCACGTCCGTAAGCCGCTTCGAGCTCTCATACGGACCCTCCGTCTCGACACCCTGGAAATCGTCTAACCTAAAGTGGCGCGCCAGCGGCTCAATGCTGCTCGTCCATACGACGCGCCCAGGACTCTGGTCAGCAGACTCGCGGCTCAGCAGGGGCAGCAGCTCGTGGGCGAGGACGTAATGGCCAAAGACGTTGGCGCAAAAGACCTCGCCAAGGACAGGGGAAGAAGGCTTGGTATCGTAAGCGGAGGCGACGGCGAGGGGGTTATCAGGGGACTCGTTGGGTACCAGGTCGGAGCGGACGGGTCGCTGGTTCAGGACGGCGCCGGGGCGGGCGAGCTTGAAGCTCGGCCAGGTGAGGACGGGCAGCAGGCCCTTTGTGAAGATGGAGGTGAAGAGGCCGGCCCAGTCGAGGCCGGTCCAGCCGCCGAAGCCGGCGTTGAAGATGAGGGAGTCGAGGCGGGGGATCTTGTAGGGGTGCGTTTCGGGGGCGGTCGGGTCGGCGATGTGGCCTGCGACGAGGGTGGTGGCGCAGGCGTAGATGGAGGGCAGGTCGCAGAGGTCGAGCTGGACGGAGAGCAGGTGGACGCGGGCGGTGGTGTCGTCGGGGTGGTAGTCGGGGCCGGCGCGGGAGCGGAGGGCGGAGGAGGTGGTGGCCGTCTGGGCGAGGTGCTGCTTCAGGTGGAAGATTGTCTCGCGGGACTTGCGGACGGAGCGGGTCGTCGGGATGAGGATCAGGTGGGCGGAGAGGGGACGGGTCGCGAGGAAGTCGTCGATCAGGCGTTCGCAGATTCCGAGGCCAACGCCACTGGTAGGGGATATTGTCAGTTGCGATTGCGATGCAGTCGGGAGGTCAAAAGGGGGCATGTCACACCTGTTTGCGCCGGTGACGAGGACGAAGAGCTGTTCGTGGGGCGGGACCTTGTCCCAGGGTGCCGCAATCATGGTTGTCTCGGGTCAATTGGGTCTTGGTAGAAATGGAATGACAAAAAAAGATTGTGCAAGAAGAGAAGAAGGAAAAGCGCACGAATGGATGTCGTCGGGTTTGAGGTTTGGCGGTGAGACTGCAGAAGAGAGTCTTAATTATCGGTGCACACGCTCCAAATTTCGGACGGAACGTCGGCGATGGGACGTAGCGGCGCCCAGCCAGGGCCAGCCAGAGCTTTAAAAGGTTGCTTCCGCTTTGGGAAGTCGCATCGAATTGCTGTGCTCATTGCTTTCGCAGTGTTCCATGCTCCTGTGGGTCCTTCTGGGTCGAAGCATGTGTCAGTCACTGCCACTGTCACAAAACTGGTGATGCACAGCGGCTGAGACTGTTCCGCGTCGTTCGACACAAGCAACACCGAGGACGCAATCCCGGCATCACTCTCTTCCATATCGTGCCATTTGATTTCCGGCCCTGGATAAGCTGAATTGAGGCGCAGGAATCGGTGCCTGTCAGATTCACCCTGCAGATCCGATCTGTTGACGACGCTGGTGATTGGTTCCGAGGATGCCGAATAAGAGAAATGCGAATACGGATTCGAGGCACTTGTGGTTGCTGTGAGTGCTGTGGCGCTGACCAAGCCATGGGCAACGCGAGCAGTAAGCCAATTAAATAACTGAATTGAGCAGGTTCGACATGAAAGAATCGCTGTGATGATATTTGTTTGATGGTTGATGTTCTCCGGCTTGCGGATCAAATCAGCCAGATCACCGAGAAGCAAGTCGATTTGATTGATTGACTTTCAATCCAGTCAACTTAAGTGAAATCAAACAGTCAAACTTTGATTTGACACAGGAAACTAATTAAATGTGATGCATCTAGAAGGAAAGGAGCCAAACGATCGAGAACAACTTCCACAGCTGACGGCAAACCATTCGACCAAATCCTTGACTACTTCGTCTCCTCTGTCTTCCCCAATGTCGTCCAAAGGTGTCTGAAACGGCTATTCTCGCGCTCGACCAACTCCACGGGAACACCGTCTTCGACAATTCGCCCAGCATCCAGGACCACCACCTTGTCAAATCCCATAACCATCTCAAGCCGGTGGCTTACCATGATGACGGTACAACCATCGAACTCACGCTCTATTATCTCCTGCATCTCCTGTTCCGTCTCCTTGTCAACGCCGCTGGTGAACTCATCAAGAATGAGCACGCCACCCGTGCTAGAAGAAGCCGAAGGCGATGCACCCTCGTCACCGGGGCTTGGGACGATTGCCGTGTGGTTCGCAACGCCCGTTGAAAGCTGCCTCGAGTGCACCCTCCGGCGAAGGACTCCCCTGGCTAAGCTGAAAAGCTGCTTCTGACCCTGGCTAAGCATATCCGCATTCATCCCAGCTTCAAGGCCGCCTCGGTCATCCACCAATGCCCAGAGACGCACAAGCTCCAGCACACTCTGGCATTCTTCATTAGTTGCAATAGAGAACGGATCGAGGTTCATCTTAAAAGATGTGCCGTCTGGTAGGAAGACCGCATCTTGAGGTAAAGCGACGAGGCGTTCACGCAGGGTGGCACGGTCAATCGTGTGAAGTGGGTGGCCGTCAATCGATATGTTCGTGTTGCAAAATGGGAGAGGATCCAGCAGGCGCAGAAGCAAAAGGAGGACAGACGATTTGCCGCTGATGGTAGGTTAGTCGCACTCCACCGTCAGATTCGTGCCCTGCGCCTCTTTGGCAGCAGAGGTCAGAACTCACCTGCCAGTTCGCCCGCAAAGAGCCACTTTCTGACCTGGTTCAATGTTCAATGTGATCTCTCGGAGCGCAAGCCCAGCACTCATGTCCTCTTTCGACAACACTTGCTTCTCGCTTCGAAAAGGTCAGTATACATGCCGGACACAAAGACCCATACAACCAAAGTTGTCGATCAACTTGCCTGTATGATGCCGAGACCCCGTGGATTTCAATCCTCCCCTTCTCTGGCCATGAGGTAGCCGGAATAAAGTCTTCTTCTGGACGACGCTCGCGAGGAGTATCGTCAGAAAACGACTTAAGTCTGCCCACGGCGCCGATAGAGGTCTCTAGTAATGTGTACATCTGGACCAGGTTTGCTAATGTTTTGCTGAAGGACATGAGGGATACTAAACTAGCACCCGTAAAACCTGCATTAGTACGGAGCTGTGTGGACAAGGTTACAACAAAGAGCGCTAGTACAGCAACTACGATCCCGAGTACTAAGGCCAACCAGCGCTGAATCATGCTTAATAGATAGGCAGGCTGTTGGGAAGTATCTAATAAGGAGTTATTCATCGCAATCGCATGCTCGGTCCAGCCAAAGGCACGGAAAGTAGCGACACCTTTAATGGTGTCTATGAAGCTTGTACTAGAAGGTCGGGAAGGTCAGCTTGGCTGCCCATCGACACAGCGGTCGTCAGGGAGGAAGGAGGGCATACTATAACGGGCTCTTTGCCTCTAAGTCTATCAATCGTAACTGACGAGATGTGCGAAGGTAGAACCTCTGAATGCTGTACAAGAGGCCCACGATGAAGGGGTATGCGATGATGATGTACGGCGAAGAAGTCGCCACAACTGCGGCAGTGCCTAACCCGATCCAAGTCTGCAGCGATGTGTTGATCAAAGCCTGGGGTAACTCGCCATCGATGAGGGTCATATCTTGCGAGAAGAGATTCGTAATCACACCCGTGTCTGTTCCCGAATAGAATCGTAACGGGGCAGCAAAGAGCGTGTTGAGCGCGGATTGGTGCAGAGTCGTCCCGGACATCTTGATAATCACTAGCAGACCAATGACGGCTTCAACGACCAAGGACCCGAGTGCCAAAAATTGGAACAGCGCGTAGAGACCGATATAAAAAGGTGTTGATCGCTTGGGTTCTGTAGATGTAATGTCTTCACTCCAGAATTTGAGCCACACGGTCGGGAAGTTGTAGAAGAAGCCGCAAATGACCCCAAAGGCCGCAAATGCAGACATGTAGAATAAGCCGATGCTTCGGAAATAGTATCCAAACACCGCGGCGTCGCCTATGATGCGTGTCGGACTGGTCGAGGTTTCCGCAGAGTCAGACTCCATCGTGCTAACTCGTGAGTCTGGCGGCGTTGTCCCTGAATCTGGAGTGGCATCGGGACCCTTCTCCATCTTTTCAATCTCCTCGGACTTTGACTGGTTGTTGCAGCTGTGTGCCACGCTCATCTTATCTTCCAAGAGCTGATCAAACTTGCCTTGCTCAGCAACAGTACCCTCAGTAGTCAGAGCAATGACATAATCAGACGATGGGAGATGACGCGTAGCATGTGTGCAGAGTACGGTAGTGGTCCCTCTTCGTTTGAGCAGTCCGCCGTTCCCAAAAACTTGCTGAAAGACATTCTCTGCTGTGTCAGCATCGAGACCACTCAGTACATCGTCGACGATCAACAGGTCGCATTGTTGGTAGAGAGCTCTAGCAAGGGAGATTCTCTGCTTCTGACCGCCGCTCAAGCTCAGGCCATTACTTCCGATGGTAGTCTGGTCGCCTTTAGGAAGGAGGAGCAGGTCTTGGACAAGCATCGTGGCCTCTATGACGGACGTGTATCTTTTCTCGTCGGCCATCTCTGAGAACCCAACGATATTGTCTTTGATCGTCGCATTCCATAGGAATGGAGCCTGGTCGCAGTAGCCAACTACTCGAGTATCAACGCCCATAATTACCTGTCCTTCGGAGAAAGGCGTTTCTCCAAGCATCGCCTTGCAGAGAGTCGATTTTCCGGAAGCGACGGGGCCAATAACCACGGTTAGACCCGAAGGAATCGATAAGTCCAATTTCTTCAGAACAAAGGTCTGTTCGGACCATCCGAAACTGCCGTTGATGATCTTGATGGCAGGGGGGTTCCCAGATGTTGCCGTCGGCTTTTCTGAGGTCATGGTGCTTGTATCGGTACAGTTGCGGAAGTCGTGTCGGGAGTCCTTTTCAAGAAAATCTTGTACTCGTCGGAGGCAAGAGAAGCCCGCAAGAAGTTGAGGCGCGATCTGAAAGAGGGTACTAAGCGGCTCCGTCAGGAGAAACAGATAAGAAATAGATGTGAATATAGTCGTCACATCTAGGTCTTGCGAAGTAAAGGCCAAGGTGAACACAGGGGCTAGCAGGATCGGAGTGAACCCAATAGCTACAGAGCCTACGAGGAACCTCCGAAACTTGCCGCCGGCCTTCACCTCGGCCACCCTCAGCTCTTGAACTGCCTGCTCAACCGGGCTGGCAAGTCCAGAAATCTTAAGACTCTTCATGTTTGCAATGATGTTCGCTGTGTGGCCGACGCGCTTCTGGATTCCTTGCATCCAGGCCATCTGTCTGGGTCCGATGTATCTCATCATAACCGTTGAGCTCGTTACACATATCGCAACCACAACGATTGGGGCGACAAATGCGACGCCGATCTGACGCTGTAATAGCCAGCATGCAAGCGCTACCTGGATAGGATTGGCCCAAAACTCATGAAGTTGCATGAACCCCATGCGAATCCGCTCTATATCGGCACTCATCAGCGTCAGGGCAGCAGAATCATCCGCGGTTGAGACTTTGGCGTGAATCGTCTTTCGATATACCGCAGTAGCCAGGCAAGCCCGTACCATACATAGACACCGCTCTTGAAAGTACCAGTAGAACGCGGTGGCCACCGGAATCCCCGTATAGATTAGGATCGTGGCCCCAATTAACCCATAACCTCTGTGAGCAGAGGCGTTCGTCTCCGGCTGGCTCAAATGATCTAAAAGCGTCTCCAAAAGAAAAGGTTGGCAGAACACTAAGCCGACTAGTGCGATTCTGGGGGCGATCGGGAGTAGAAGAGGGACTGCTAAAGTGCTTCCTAGCGCACGTGCGAGGCCATAATCATGGCCTTTGAAGCTTGCTGTATCAGCTTTTCGGGAGAATGATAGTTGTAGGACCTCGGAAGACATGTGTTTGTCAAGGGCGAAGAGATCCGGGATGGCTAAGACCTTTTTGTAGCCAGACAGGAATAGAGGGTTGAGCCAGAAGAAAGTAGCCAGCCCATAGAGGCCGGTGGTCTCTTCGGGGCTATATCCTTTACGATCCCAGAGAAGCCATGAGTTCTTTTGCCATGATTCGATCGATATGAGTGTGGCTTTCCATGCCGCAACCGCGGTGAAGATTCGAGTGAAAGTGATTTCATGTTGCGTTGAGGCGGCCAGCCAAAAGGAGCGTGTCTGTGCTACGTCGAATAATGTCGAAAGAATGATGAAAACATTCAATAGAATAGATGGACGCGGCGACCTACGGTGTTCCAAGTGGCTCAGAACAGACATACATATTGCTGCGAGGAAGCGGAGACCGAAGGCAGCGACGAACAATGCTGAGAATGTGGGGAGTTCGACAGCGCTGAAGACGAGGACCGCGAGAGTGAGTATCGCATAGACAGCGAAGAAGACCTGGACAACATCAGTTTCTCATCCTTTCGCGTCTTGAATATGACCTCAGTATGATCGAAAGCGTACAATTTTGACGCATTGAAGAAGGGTGCCCCCCACGATGTTCGGCTTGCGGAGCAGCGACACGGCTCTGGGGAGAGAAAGGGCGATGAATATGCTAGACGGTAGTATGGACAAGAAGATCTGTTCGAACTTCAGTGTGAAGTCGAAATCGTCTCGACAGCCCTGCACACTTGGTCCAATCGACTCGTCGTCGACGCACGCGAAGAAGCCCATGCTGACGGCAGTAGACGACCTCTTCCAACGGCGCGCATGCAGTGAAGACGAGCTACTCGTAACGCAGGTGACAACAAGCTCTATGGCTCAATAACAGGAAGATAGGTGGATGCAGGAGAGGCGAAGGTTGGAGCGGCCCGTCAGTACCGATGTTGAAAGGAGCTCGTATGCATTCGGCGTCCAGAGTGTCCCACACGCATTCATCTAAACGATAGTCAATAATCAGGAAGAAGGAAAGGAGGCCATCACGCCTGTCTTCGGCCGACTGTTAGCGAGGTCAACATGTAGCGCGTGACAAACGGGTAGCTCGCACCAACCCGAGAAAAGCAATTCAAGTCCTCAGTGGCATATCTTGTTGGTGCGGCCACCGGTTGGGCGGCCTGGGCTCGCATGCCCAGACTGACCCCCCTGTTCACGGCGAATGACGCCAACCAGCCCAGCCCGCGACGTCTGCGTGTTGATAAGCCCGCATAGGAAGGTAGAAAATAGAAGTTGTCAGCCAACTGCACACTGGAATCTAGCGTCCATGCCAACGCTACTGCAACGGGAGCTTCCATCCCCAGATTGTGAGTTTAGCCGTCCCACACCACGTCACATTCATTGCAGAGGAGATTATCAGGACGTCCGCAACTTGAGGTCACGCCAATGATGCGTAGCTACTCGGGCAAATCGAGGCGGCGGCCCGAATCCGTACGGGATCCCGCACTAGCGTTGCATCCCGGGCGATTGTCTTGGTATGACCTGATGCGATGGTTGAAACGTAGGCTTTAGATAAGGCGGTAAGGGGAAGCGAAACGCTCATCCATTGGTCGCACGAGTCCAGATCGCTGCGCCCAGAGGCCAATCGACACAAGTCCCTCCCTTGACTCCTTGGTCAATATGTCACGTTCACAATGCGCAACGGTTACGAATCTTGAAGCGTTCATGACATACCGCCGCGATTTGCTCTTCTCAGCTGTGCCATTGCGGCACAGTGCAGTTATCATGTATTCTATCCATGGTTTTGACAATGCCAAGTAGCATAATAGGTAGGTCGGAGTTCTCAGGGTTGATTGACACACTAGACTAGTGATTGCGTGCTTTATCACTCGGAAACGCAGAATCATCTCGAGAGAGGCAGAGTCGAGATCTATCCCCCGACTTTTCCGTGTATCAATAAGCCTTGTTGTTTACCCGTTTACTGTCAGGGTTTTCGCTATACCCACGAAACTTCAGAACTTCCTGGACTCATTCGTGTCTGTTTGACCCCATGTCCGTTAATTTATCTCGCAAAATTAGCAAAGTCTATACTACACCGCGAACTCCTCTTCAGCGCTCTGACTTCTTGAGCTTATTGCTTCTTTCCGTCATCATCTTTAGGGCATTTGCCTTGTCCCAAGCTACCAACCATGAAGAACATGAGCGGCTACTCCAGGGTGAGGGACGAAAATGACTTGGAAATATCATCCGGGCTTGGGGAGCCTGGCACAGGGAGCTGGCAGACTCGTCTCATTAATACTTGGCCCAGCCTCTTGTGGAATGTAGTCTCCTTCTCAATGTTCCTCGCTGGAGCCATGATGATGATGGTTGTATTTACACGGCAACCATCAGACAGAGCTTGCGCCGCACAGCTGAGCATCTGGTGTAAGTGTGACGAAGGCAGCCCTACTCTTGCGATGATTCCGGGCATATCATTGAGAACATACTGACCGTCGGTTGCTGTTTAGCTCCTCTTCTTGAAGCTGTTGAATACGAGGAACGGGACTGGGTCAGCATCTTTGCGACAAAGAATTCCCCCTTCGTAGGTTCTCCTACGAAGGAGATGGAGGCGAGGTGGAAGGCTCTTGTGGAAGGCAAGTCACTTCATCAATCCATATGGCGCACTTATCTCATGCCTTGTATTAGTACCATCTGTTGTTATTCCCCCAAGCCGCGTCCCCTTCCTAAACAGAAGCGTCGAGCAAGGCTTTGTGCCGGTCCAGAACGATGCCTCAAACCCTGGATATGTGGCTGGTGTAGAAGTGTTTCATCACCTGCACTGTGTCAACGTTTTGCGTCAATTCTTGTGGAGAGACTCCTACCCAGAAGGCATGACTCCGAGCCTACTCAAATTCAACACACCAGAAGTCGCCCGCGCGCATGCAGATCATTGCATTGAAACATTACGACTAGCACTCATGTGCAACGCTGATATCACGCCGTATCTCCTGTACGAGACTGAGCCTGCTCCTGGCTCAGATGTCCCTGCAAAAGAAGATTTCCAGGCATTTCACAAGTGTAAACGATTTGATAGACTGCAGGATTGGGTACATGAAAACGGCGTGATAGTGCCGTGGAGACAGCCGAAGAAGCCAATGTAGTCATATTCAAATATGCGGTTCTGTGTTTTCTAGTCCACAGGAGAAGAAATAGTTAATCAAATCTATACTCTGATCTCACAGCTACTTGCTCAATGTTAGAGCTGGCAACAGGGAAGTCATTGTCATCTTCCGGCGAGCCGCCTCAATCACGCCTTGGACACTGCTGTGGACATATGTTGTAAAACAACAATGTGATGGATCATGATTGGTGTTCAGAGGGGGTGCGGTAAAGTATGAATTACTCCCAAGTTCACTGACGCTCGAACATTACATCTCTTTCACACAAAGTCCGCTTTTCTTTTTTGCACGAAGCTTCTGGAGCGTTTACAATAGATCTGAATTGGAAAACTATGAAGATCTCTGTTCCGGATAGACATTGGCAAGATACATGGTTTCATTTCCTCCGAGACTATTTCACCGTCCAGTTGTTTTCGATCCAGTTCTCGATGGCATTGAAATCTCTGCACTTGTGGTGAGTTTCGAAGTCCGCGCGGGCGCCCGCAGGTCCTCCAAGTCGCACTAGCAACGGAGTGACATCCCCCCAGCACATGAGTGCGATACGTAGCGCGTCTAGGCAGTGGTCGACGTGCATACGATTCTTGAGAGGGTCATTAGACAGCCCAACTGGAGGCTCGTCATACTTCCCCGCCTGCCACCACGTGTACATGCGGACAATGTTCTGGAAAAGCAGTATCATCAGTACAATAATTGAGTTGATACCATCTTCAAGACCACTTACCAAGCAATGCAGCTGATGATAGACCTCCAGTAGCCCGACGTAGCCGTCGCCAACCTCAGGAGGGACATGCATGAGATGATCTTCTTCGGATCGATTCATGCCGCTGAGCCTTTCTGGAGGTACTTCGAATCCATGCTCTATATTTCAGTCAGTAAGAAGTCCTACAGGAGGTGGAACTGAACTTGCTGTAGGTAAGATTGAACCACGCATCCTCTCTTTCTTTCATAGGCGGACCGCGATAAATGCTCGTTGCGTTGAATGCATCCGCAAAGTCGATTTGGACATATTCAACAGCATCGAGCGCAGGAGCTGAGAGGTCAGCCGTAGGCTCAGAAAGTCACAAGGTACATCATGTCACTTGGAGAGACGCGGCTGCCACTTACACCACATCGATAGCTGCCGGGCACATTGCTGATCACTCACTGTGTGAGTGAGAACAGCAACAATGAGCCCGCACGTCACCAGGATCAAGAAAACAAGAGCTCCCATGACTGGGCTTGGAATCCAAGATCTCCAACCCCGACGACGCGCGAGAAATGCTACATCATCGGTGCTGTTGTTGTAGTCTGTGATTGACTCGGAATCTCCAGACTCTGAGGCCATCAATGGACGATACGACCCTTGCTTAGACTCCATGATGTTCTTGAGTCTCTCTTGTTATAATGAAATGGATAATGTTTTAGGTGAAAGATCTGAGACGTGAGTAGAAAACACTACAGGAAAAGTGAGAACAAGGAAGAAAAGGGATCCGGTTTAAGAAAGGTCACTCAAGGAGTTGGAGCAAGACTACCTCTGTAGAAGAATATTCACCATTCGCCCCGAGGATGAATTCGTGAAGTCCGACGCTTTCCAGCCGAGATTCTCCGCAGTAGTTGATAGATGTCTGGTGTGTTGGAAGCTGTGCCGCAATGCACATGCAAGGCTTGTTGGTTCATCCTGCAGCTTTCCAAGAGCGTCTCGTGAGACCAAGACGCGATTGCGCGATGATATGGCAAAGCAATCCTACCTGCCTATCTCATTTTCTGATCGTCACCTCTCTCCATGGGTTGAACGGCTTTGAGAATCGGTAAAGGAGTCACCGAGGGGTATCATCCACCACAAACGGCCAGAGGATAACCGCTGCAGCGTATCTCAGGTATCTCGCTTATGGCATTGGCACAGAATCTTGGCCAAGATACCATGACGGAAAGAACGCCGAACAGTCATGCTCCCAAGCCTGGACGTCTCGATATGATACACCTGTCGTGATCAGGCATCAAGATTCGCAAGGCATGTGAACGGATCTGGCGGAAACGTCAGCATCAGAGCGACTAAAATCTTGCGGCCTAAATGTTGACGAGCCGAAATCAAGCGGCACGGAAGGTGCGAAGGAGGGGCTTCGGTATCATCACTCCTCAGCGATGCCGAAGAAAGGGAGCAACCGCGGAAGATGGGATCCGCCGTACACACGGCTGGTCTTCGCGACTCCGATATGGACTGCGTCAGATGGTTGAGGCCGCAGATGTCCATGCAAGACGATGCAATGTTACTCTTGTGCGGAGAAGCAACCTAGGAGAAGAAAAGAAGTATATAAACGGCCATGCCGTCACCAGAATCGCCAGGTCTTCTCTCGACATCACACACTCATCCAGCCCCTGAATCATTGCTCAGAAAAGTAAATCCTTTATCTTCCCTCTTCTCACGCAATTTTCGCTACAAACCTCTCGTCAACATGAAGTTCTCTTTTGTTGCACTTGCCACTGTGGCCGTTTCCGTCGCCGCCTCGCCCGTGGTGCAGCTGTCCAACACCAAGACGGTGACCATGAAGCGGGACGAGCTTCTCAAGTCCGGCCTCCTCAGCAAGCGAGACAAGGTCGACTTGGCCGAGAGTGTCAACTACATTCTCGTCTTGCTCCGAGAGGGTGACGACTCTGCCGACCCCTACCAGGACGAGGTCGACGCCGTTGCCGACCCTTCTCAAGTCCTCGGCTAAGCGAAATCATGCGCATAGTGTGTACTACGAGACTGTAAGTACTCCAATGTTGTTATAAGTTCCTTCAGCTGAGATTGCTGACATGAAAGACATGAGTTAACAGGCAGTGCGTACTGTAGGCAGTTTCTGTGCTGTGGTCACTAGCGGATATTTGAGATTCACGCGCTCCTTGGAACCCCTTGCCAACGCATCCTGTAACGCACCCGATGTAGATAGGTTCACTCTTGGAGAAATAGATTAGGATGTAAGGGATGTATGCATTTGTTGGATGTGTCTGGACTTTGACACTTATTGAACACGAAGCACTACAACTCGGTTCATAACCACAATCCACTACCATACATATAACTATTCTGTGAAAGCATAGTGCATAAATCCGTTCTGACGTCTCTGCTTCTTAAAATCAACGCGCAATCCTGTATTCAATGCTCATCCCATGAGAGCGGGGTGCTCCGGCCGTCGTTACCGACGCATCTGGGGTATCCAATCCAGGCAACGAAGAAGGCAGGGAAAGGCCCGCATATCATGGGATTGGCTGTAGACATTAGCCTTTCCATAGGGTAAGAGCCAGCATCTTTCTATCAGAGAAATCAAGCCGACCTAGACAATGCTACCACGTTCGGATCCGAAGAAGGCGAAGCAATTTTTGAGGCAAGAAGATTGAATTGTATTATATACGATTATGAAACGCTATGCAAAGTAACTGCCTCTTGTCATCATCACTCGTCCTCCCCTAACATCTACGCCTTGCAGAGACGTCCGTCGCTCTGGACAGTCCAGTCGTCGCTGCCGACGCCGGTCAGAGCGTAGAAGGTGCTGCAGGGGTCGTAGATCTTCTTGATGGCCTTGAGCTTGGCGTAGTTGCCGCCGTAGAAGACGTCCTGCCAGTCAGCCTGGTTGCGGTCGGCCTCGTTGAGGTAGGCGCCGCCGCCGGGGGTGAGCTCGGCGAGGATGGGCACGATGGTGTCGGTGACGGTGGTCTGGCCGGAGACGAGGGTGGAGAAGTCGGCGCGGTCGTAGGCGCTGCGTTTTGTTAGTCACTAGCTCTTAAGGGGGTAAAAATAGGGGTAACTCACGTTCCGACGACGGCGGAGAAGAGAGCCGTACGCCAGGCGGGGTTGACGGCGTTGGGGGTGGCGCTGGAGTCGCGGGCGACGTTGATGGTCAGGCCGGAGATGATGGCGCCGTTGTCGAGGATGGACTTGAGAGCGGTGGTGAGCGTGGTGGCGGAGGCGTCATCGGCGACGAGGGTGCGGGGCATCAGACGGCCGCCGATGTTGAACTCCGTGACGGCGGGCTCGGGGTTCATGTCGTTGTAGCTGTCCAGGTACGTGTCGTACTGGTTGATGTGGTAGTCTGGTTCACATTAGCCCAATGTACTCAACAAAGTTCGGCAGGATTTCTTACCGTAAGTGATGCCAGCGGCGTCGAGGGCATCGATGGTGGGCTGGAGCAGAGCCTGGAGCTCAGCCTTGGTGAGACCGGGGGCGGTGGTGGGCTGCATGAGGAAGACACCGGGGCTCATGAGCCAGATGCTGACGGCACCGGCATCGACGATATCAGGCAGAGTCTTGAGGTAGGTGGTGACAGCGCCGTAGAACACGTCGTCGGTGACACCGGTGTTGGTGAAGGTCAAGTTGGCAGATGAGGTGATCATGTCAGGGTAAGCCTTGACGGTCATGGACAGAACAGCAGCGTAGACACCGCCACCGCCACCGCTCAGAGCCCAGTAGAGGTCAGAGTAAGCGGTAGGAGTTGCGACAATCGTCTGGCCTCCAGAAGTGACAACCTCCCACTCGAGAACCTGGTCAGCTCCAAGACCGTACTTGGAAACAAGAGGGCCGTGGCCACCACCTTGGGTGTATCCTCCCGCGAGTCCAACAGTCGGGCTGTTACCACCGACAACAACGAGTCCCTGAGCGTGAGCAGCGGCCTGGGCCTCGCCGGCTTGAACACCAGCACCAACCTTAACGGCCTTGCCGGTGTAGCCAGTAGACTTGTAGTCAATGACCGAGATATCCTTCAGGTTGTGAGTCCACAGAGCCAGACCACCGGCACCGGTGGACTTGCCAAGGTAATCGTGACCGGTGTTGCGGATCACGAGGCGGATGTTGTTCTCCTGAGCGAACTTGATGGTAGCGCTGTAGTCCGCAGCGCTGGTCGCCTTCACAGCGTACTGAACGTAGGTGCCGATGATGCAGCGGTCGGTGGGCTGGTTGAAGGGGTCGCAACTGGAGTTGGCGAAGAAGGCGGCCATGACCGACGAGGAGGTCTGGATGTGCGTCTCCGACTGACCCCAGGCGTTCTGCAGCGCCGTGCACTTGGCCTCGTCGTAAGAGCCGAAGGAGCTGTCATGGCAGACGGCGCCGATGGGCACGGTGGCGATGAGACGGCCGCCAACGGTGGTGTTGAAGGCGTCCCACTCGGCTGCCGTGGGCCAGCAGTCGTCGCCGGGGAAGCAGCGGCAGGTGGCGTTCGAGTCCTCCCTCTCTTCGAGGGGGCTGCCGAAGGCGCCTCCCGGCTTGCCGACGGAGAGAGCGGAAACGACCGCCGGAGCGAGTGTGAGGAGGTTAATGAAGGACACCATCTTGGATTGGGAGAACCGCAGCGAGCACAAAGGGGGTAGCGAGAGACTGGAGGTGAGGGAGGTGAGGAAGGGAAGGGAAGGAGACTTCACGATGCAACTCTAGGTCTTGAACGCTACATATTTAACTTGGCCCAAGGACGTCTTCACTCACGAACCATAAACAACGCATACAGACAGGAAATGAGATGCCGACCAGACCGGGAGACTCTGACGATGGGTTTGATTAGCACCCATGTTAATATTGGCTCTTATGGCCCACGATGCCTACGCCTGTGCGATGTTTGGGGAAAGAAACTTTTCAGCTATTGGGACGGGATGGTCCTACGCTGCGGCGGGCCTGACTCTGCTCCCTGCGCAGGCTGGCGAGTTCGAGAGAAAGATTGACCGTGGCAGGGCCGGGAGACGGGAGCCGCGTGGCTAAGTCGTCAGTTGTGCATGCCTTAGACGGACTGAAGCGGACTGAAAGAGGGGGGAAAGGACTAAAGAGAGAAGAAGAGAGGGAGCCCGAGGGGCCGAGTAGTTCGGGCTTGCCGCAACAGACAGCCGGGCCACGGAACAGTTCCCAGATGCGGAGACTCACAGACGGTGGCTCTAGGTGGTAGGCATACGACTGAGGTTCCAACAGCTCATGTGAGCTAATATAGGCAGGTAACATCGCAACATTGCTCTTTAGGGGTCGTCCCTGACACGCGTGTTGTGGGATGAGCAAGGATTGAACGTTATCTGCCAAGTTGACAAGAGCAGACAAGAGACTCTTTTGCACTAACACGCATCGGATCCGGGCAGGGGACCTCGCTGGTGGTGCATGCGTACGCAGCACGCCAAGCGTCCCCAGTGGTGCGGCCGCCTCTAACTGCAAAAAGGTGTTAGAACATCGTGCTAGAGAGGAAGGAGAATGCTTGTCATACGGTTCATCCAAACGTGCAGTGTGTGTGGTTGCAGCAACAAGGTTGAATGCAGGTGGCAGTTGGACCGGGTGGCTCCGCATGGAGGAGGGTTTACCCCGGGCCCTCCGGGTTGACGGACGAGACCCGAGCCCGCAACGGCGTGGACAGACCAATAGGCCGGCGCCTCTAAGCCCCGTGTGACAACTACATCCGGCCGCCGATGAACACCAGCCAACTGGCACACTAAAACACCGAAGAGGAGGGGAGCTAAGTGATCCTTCCCGTCTGACAACATCGGAAACCAAATCGTATCGTGTCGTCCAAAGCTAATGCGAGTGAATTCTGTCGCTAGTCGGTGCCTTTACTCCGTAACTCTACACTAAAGCAGGCTGTCATGAATAAGTGTTCATCCAACGCCCCTGTTGTTGCGCTCAAAGACCCCGGCCTCCCGCGGGCCGCTCCCTGCCACTGCGTGACTCGTGACCCCTGTTCAACCCAGATCACGCACGTCAACTATTCGATAACAACCTCTCGCCCCCTCAACTCAATCAGCATTCGCCCGAGTCTTATCCGCGGTCCTGTCCATCTCCATGACTCGCACTCGACAGCATTGGCAAGGGTTCCAACTTGTTCCTCCTGCCACAACCAACTCCTTCACACACGGAAGCAAAGGGCAACCCGCCGCAAGAGAGCCCGGGAAATAACGCGTTGCCAACAGGCCCAGTAAAAGTGACAGTCCTCCGTCTCATCAGTCACTTCTCACACGTGCTCCAACGACACGAAACCGTCACCACCACCAGCACCAACTGCTGCTGCACCGCCGAACAGCGGTAGGGAGTACAGACACACCGTCCACAGGCACCACAGCCTCCATGCCCGGGCGTCCGTTTCCGGCGTCCTCGTCCGGAGCACCCCGACAACCACCAGGGCGCCAGACACCACCGGCAGCAGCACCCCCCACGACCGGATGCCCCAGAAGTACACGCACACACACGACCACGCCGGCACCAGCACCGCCAGCGACGCCCGCGACGCAAAATCCCCGAAGAATAGGGGTATCGTGTTGCGCCCGCGCCCCGCGTCGCCCGCCTGGTCCTTGAGGTCCTGCACCTGCATCGTCGTGAGGATCACCGCGCTGATGATGCCCGCCCACAGGTACCCCTCGCGCGTGATGCTGTTGCCGCCCTCCGAGGCTGTAGCAGCGGCGGCGGCAACGTCTCCAATGGCGATCTTGAGCGAGGCCGTGTTGAAGAGGAAGTACGCTACCGCGATGATGACGTCGCGGGCGAGCGTGTCGCCGCCGCGGAGGTCGTTGTACAGCCACGTCAGGATGAGGATGAAGACGCCCTCGCTCCAGACGCCGAGCACGTAGTTGAAGACGAGCACCGCGGGGATGGCCACGAGCATCGCCGCGCGCGTCTGCTCCTGCGTGACCTTGCCCGCGGGGATGGGCCGCCACGGCTTGTTCGCGCGGTCCTCCGCCACGGACTCGGAGCCCCTCTGGTTGGCCAGGTCGAAGATGAGCA